TCCGAGACAGATGTCCTCCTGCCAGGACAGCCTCCCCTAGGCACCGGCGGTGCTCACTGTGGCTCCTGCTGCTCGCTGGCGCCCTGTGTCTCCTGGGCCAGCGGCTCCAGGGTGGAGGGGGGAAGCAGGGAGGGGAGGCAGATATAACAGGTGACATGGCTGATAGGTGTGACTTAGCAGTTTTCCAGGAATGGGAGTTTGGCCCCTCTTATGACGTCATCTATGTGTTCTCAATGGCTGCACACGGCCCAGTGGGAAAAGCGGCCCCATTTCCCCGTCACACCACTGCTTGTAGGTGTGAAGGGGGGAAAGGCTGGAAAGCCTTTCCATCACTCATTCTGCACGTGAAGGAGGTAATACCTAAAGGAACTCAGAAAGCTGGCACCAGGTGATGTCCTGGCAAGATGACCCCGAAGCAAGCCACCGTTCTTACCTTGCCCTGAATGTCACTCACCAGAAAGCCCTCCCCACCATGCCCGTCCCCTTACCGTGCGCACAGATTGTCCATTCTGGCCACCACTGAGCCATTTCCCTAGTGGGCTATCGTTGGCTTGTCTGTTCACATCCCTTCCCCACCAGGACTTAGCGGCCAGCAGTCTGTCCTGCGCCCACAGCACCCAGATCAGGGCTTGGCACACAGTAGGAGCTCAGTAAATACCTGTGGCATGAGCCCGCATGCTGACAGGGGGCTTGCACATAGTGTGGCATGCTGTGTGACCCTGTGCCCTCCTGCTGTGTGATCATGGCTCCCAGCAATGGGAGAAGGAAGCCGAGGCTGTTTACCTCCGTTACTCGCCTGATAACCGGCTCCCGGATTAAGAGCGTGTTCTAAGCGCTCTCCTTCCTCCCAGACGCCCCTTTGCAAAAGCGGCATCTAGAGAGGAAAACAGGAGCGTGCTCCGTCGATGGGCCCTCATGCTGCCGTCACTGAGCTCCTGTTGCCGAGCACATGCTCTGCGCGGAGTCTGCGCCTGTGAGGGGTGACCCAGAGCTGGCCGCCAGGAAGGATGCCGGCAGGACCATGGCCCATCCCAGGCACGCACCGGGCTTCCAATAGCAAGTCTTGGAAATTAAGGGGGAAGAGCTGGAAGTGGGTGTTGTTAAAAGTGGGCGCCGCCGCCTAGCAGATGTGTAAGTTACCCAGGAGGAGGAACATTTTGGAGGCAGTGGGCATGGACGGTTTCAAGGCAGCCTGTGGGGCCACTCCAGGGAACTGGGATCTGCTCAGAATGAAAGAACCCAGCGCTGCAACACAGAACATCCTTCTCAGAGCCAAATGCTCTCCCACAAGGGGAGGAAGTAGGAGGGGCTGGGTGGAACATCTCTAAGACAGACCAGGCTGGAAGAGAAAAGAGCGTTACAACAATGTACTGACCGGAATCACCACGCCGCCTGCACCTTATGTGCCAGTGCTTGAAAGTTGTCAAGAGAATAAATCCTAAAAGTGCTCATCACGGGAGAAGCACGCTTTGTACCTTTGTAGGGTGACAGGCGGTTCCTAGCCTTGTGATGGGGATCATTTCACTCTGCACACCAATATTGGATCATTGTGTCAGACACCTGAAGCTAATGCAACGCGATGTCCATTATACCCCCATTTTAAAAAAGAAAGAAAAGAACGTGTAACACTGGTCATGCATAAAGAAAGGATGATTTAAAAATAAACCCTAGGCCAAAACCGGTTTGGCTCAGTGGATAGAGCGTCAACCTGCAGACTGAAAGGTCCTGGATTCGATTCCGGTCAAGGGCATGTACCTTGGTTGCAGGCACAATCCCAGTAAGGGGTGGTGTGCAAGAGGCAGCTGATCGATGATTCTCTCTCATCGATGTTTCTAACTCTCTATCCCTCTCTCTTCCTCTCTGTAAAAAAATCAGTAAAATATATTTAAATAAATAATAAACCCTAGGACCAGAGCAAATAAAGAAGACACGCTTTGTATGGTAACAGGGGGAAACTGAAGGTTGGTGGGGAGCATTAGCAGAAGATACGGATGTTAAGGTACAATGTTGTACCCCTGACATTGATATGACCTTACTTCAGTAAAAAATAAAGACATACACGTCCTGAGCTCACCATTGCCCATTCCTATTACACCTTTTCATGGCCCTGGGAACAGAATTCTACCAGGAAGATGCATGCTGATCTCTCCTCTGAGCAGCTACCAAGACCCCAGACTTCAAGCTTCGAGGGGGGTCTTTGTAAAACTCGGGAATCTGGTCCAATCACGTTAATGGCCACAGAGAGGCTGATGAAACGGGCGACTCACTGTTCAATAAGGAGCTGTCATTGTGGGACAAAGAGCTGCTTTGATCAAGCAAATGGCTGCAACAGTTCAGGGTTCGATTGATTCCTTGGCAATTAGTGGTGACGGGTGTGTGTGTGTGTGTGTGTGTGTGTGTGCTAACAAGCAAAGCAGAGCCAGGTCTGACCGGAAATGGGTCTCTTCTGAGTTGAGCGGAGAGCCTGCCACAGGCGCTGAGCAGGCCTCCAGGGAGGGCATCACATCTGCATTGGGAGGTGGGGAAGGTCAGGTGTGTGTGTGTGTGTGTGTGTGTGTGTGTGTGTGTGTGACGCTAGAATTCCCTGTCACGGAGATCCGCTGGCAGTTGCAATCTAAGTTTGGTTATGAATCTAGACTAGGAGACTTGGAAACCAGAACGTATAGTCATGTACATTTTAAACTGCCTTCCCTATGTTGGTCACTAGGCACACAGGTTTTCCTTTAAACCTAATACTGAGTCTGTGGTCTTATATCCAATTAGAGCCTGGGGCATGGATTTGGGCACCAGTGTGGTCTCTTGGCCTGGCCTGCGCCTCTTGAAACCTGTGACCCCTCGAGATGTCAGACTGCTAGTTTTGGCCTGGTCCCCGCAGACCAAATTACATGAAAATTTCAAAAGCAGCACTGCTACTGCTTCAAAAAAGTAGAAAAATATCTAGGGGGAAATTTGCAACACTTGACAAGCATTTAGTTTTGTTTTTTGGTTTTTAAAAATATATATTTTCTTGATTTTCCACAGAGAGGAAGGAAGAGGGATAGAGAGCTAGAAACGTTGATGAGTGAGAAACATTGACCAGCTGCCTCCTGCACACCCCCCACCGGGGATGTGCCCGCAACCAATGTACATGCCCTTGACCGGAATCGAACCTGGGACCCTTCAGTCCACAGACCGACGCTCTATCCACTAAGCCAAACTGGTTTCGGCAGCATTTAGTTTTTTAAGATAGGAAGAGTACCCTGGCTGGTGTGTTCATTGGTTAGAACTTCGGCCCATGACTGAAGGGCTACAGGTTGGATTCCCGTCAAGGGCACATACTTAGTTTGCATGATTGATTCCCACTCCTATTAGGGCTCCGGCCAGAGGTAACCAGTCAGTGGCAGAGGGAAATCGGTGCCAGCAGCTGGGTGAAGGAAGGTCTACTTTTACATGAATTTCGTGCATTAGGCCTCTAGTCCTTACATAATATGTCAAAATATAAAACATTCAGACCCTCTTATACTTCTAATGATTTGGGTTAAGAATTATCTACACAAGTGTGAAAATATATGCTCCTAGCTGATCAACACTGTGGTATTTGTAATAAGAGTGAAAAAAATGAAAATGACCCAAAGGATTGAAAGGGGAAAAGTTGGTACATAGAAATAATGGAATCCTCTGTGGTTATTAGAGATGATGATGTTACTCCATTTATACTGGCATGGAATGGTATCACCAATACATAGCAGAGTGAACAAAACAGTTTATAAGGTGCAAGTGTAATGTGATCCTATTAACATATGCAGGCGGGTTTCAGTGAAGCTAACTGTCTCAGGCATGGAAGTGCCACACGGGCGGGCCCTTTGTGTTCTTCACTGAGCAGTCCCTAGTGCCTAGAACAGTGCCTGGTGCAATCATGCGGTAATGTTTGCTGACTGAATGGAAGATGCTTAGAACATTTCCCACCAATAGTACAACATTGTTGTTATTGGAGCCCTAGTCATTTTTTGTGTGTTCTTTATATTTCCTCTACCAGTTGAGTTGCCTTCAAAATGCTTATTTTGCTTTTACCAAAAGAACTATGATGTCTACTATTGATGAGGATATGGCAGTCCCAAATATGCTCATTGGCTGTGAAAACTAGTTCAAACTTTTGGAAAACCATTTGATATCAAATATTCAAAAGTCACAAAAATGTCTCTTCCTTTGGTCTATTAATCCTGATAAGGAAAAAAAAAAAAAAAAAAAGCAAACTATAAAATGACCTAAGCATCCAACTGTGTTTATCTCAGTGTTTAGATTAGGAAAACCACAACCCTAGCAACCTAAAGGCACCTCTAAAGGGGGAAAGAGTAAGAGTAAATTACGTAAATCCACTAGATGGGATTTCACACAACGAAATAGCAACATAAATAAAAAGGCTGAAAATGCAGGCATGCAGTGATTTAAATGATGCATAAAACAACATGATGTATTAAGACTGGAATTCTGGGTGCCGTTTTCTTAGAACAGCAGGAAGAACATGGTTTTTGGAGCTACAGACTGGTTTTTTTATGCAGACATTTCTACACAGCTGTTACCTAAGTTTGGATGATTATGTTCCCTAACTCTTTGCGCCTCCGCTTTCTTATCTACAAAATGGGCTGACAGAGCCACCTCTTAGTATTGAGAGGATTAAAATGAGATGGCACACATAAAAGAAAAAGGCCAAAGAGTAAGGAAGGACCTCTCAAATTGTGGTAATTATTTTAATTTTTGTTGTTGTTGTTATATTTTCCAAATCTTCAAAAGATTGTCGGCTCCTATCAATTACAAACGGAATGAAAAGTAAAATAGCAAAAAAGGGAGGGAGGAAGAGGTTCAGGAGATGGAACTTTGGAATTGTGGTAGAGAGCTCAGCACAGTGCGCACGGCGCGGGCGGCGGGGCGATCCCGGAGGTGGCCAGCAGGGGCCGCTGCGGGCGGAGACCGACCCGGTGCCGGAAGCCGGCTGGCGGCGGCCAGGCGCACTCGCCGACTCCGCCAGCTTCCGCTTCCGCCGCCGCCGCCTCCGTGTGTCTTCGCTGAGTCGGTCTGCTGAGCCGCCGCCGCGATGCCGCTGGAGAACCTGGAGGAGGAGGGTCTGCCCAAGAACCCCGACCTGCGCATCGCGCAGCTGCGCTTCCTGCTCAGCCTGCCGGGGCACCGCGGGGACGCGGCCGTGCGCGAGGAGCTGATGGCGGCCGTCCGCGACAACAGTGAGGCCCGCGCCGCCGAGTCAGCGGCCTACACTTGGGCTGGGCTGGGCTGGCCTGGGGGGGGAGTTAGGCTTTCCTGCGAAGGGGCGGGTTGGGGTCGGTGCCTGTAGCAGTCAGTGCGCTGGCCTGTGTTCCTTTGACACGTGACTCTGTGCATGGGCACGCCGACCCTTTTCCCTTCCCCTTCCCCGGGAACACAGGGCGCCCAGAGGGGTGCCAGCACACAGCCCAGCAGAGGTTGGCGGTGTGGGCACTGGCCCCGATGCACACCTGCCCGCAGCAGGCGTTTGCACTGTGCCCAGCCCCTTACAGCGCTGCCCCATTCCTCCCTGGTCGCGGGTGGGAGACTCAGGGATGCCCCACTCACCAGTCACGTCCCTCTTTGGTTCTCAGACATGGCTCCTTACTACGAAGCGTTGTGCAAATCCCTCGACTGGCAGGTGGACGTGGACCTGCTCAGTAAGATGAAGAAGGCAAATGAAGAAGAGCTGAAGCGTTTGGATGAGGAGCTGGAAGATGCAGAGAAGAATCTCGGGGAGAGCGAAATCCGCGATGCAATGATGACGAAGGCGGAGTACCTGTGCCGGATAGGCGACAAGGTGAATGGAGATGGGTTCCCCTCTTTGTAGGGTCTAGAATGGCCACTGCTGTAGGTTCATAATGCCTTATTTTGAAATCAGTGTCCTTTGAAAAGGTACGAAAGTAACTACGTACACGCTTCCCTGCACGAGGGAATCAGTACAAAGATGAATAAAGAAAAGCTAGTAGTCTTCTTGCTCCCCCCATCACCTGCCCACAAACAGCAGCCAGGTGTGTGTGCTTCCCAGCTCTCTCCAGACCAAGGAAAACGGGGAACAGGCAGAGATGTGTGGGTGTGGGTGTGGGTGTGGGTGTGTGTTTTCACTGCTTTTACAAAATCGGGATCATTTTCAGTAGTTCACTTTTCTTACATTATCTTGGTTGGTAAGTATTGGTTCTGGAACATTTTAAAAATAATTATTTAAATAAGTAGTAGTTTAAGTAACTAAAACAGTTAACGTTAAAACTCTAGTTGGTCTTTGTTCCTACCTCCTCAAAGATAACCTTTTTAGTTCTTTTATTGTCCATTTACAGGCATATATATATATATATATATATATATATATATACACACACACACACACATACATACATATATACACACACACACACATATATAGTATGTGTTTAAATCTTAAAATAATAAGTGGTGTATTCTATTGTCCTGCTTGCTTTTTTTTTTCTCTCCCAATCAGCATTATTTCTGAGTGATTTGCCCTGTTCATGGACATAAATCTTGCTCATTCTGGTTAACTGCTAGCTCTCAGTCCATTGCCGGGCTCTGCCAGTTTCCTTAGCTATTCGGCTATTGATGGGCATGGATGTTGTTTGCAGCTGTTTCTGTTGTTTTTCAGCTGTTTCTGCTACTGCACGCTGCTGCTGTAAAAACATGTTTGTGTGTGTGCTAATGTTTAGGGTATATTCCGTGAAATGAAATTGCTGAGACAGGAACAATTTTTATCTTAATACGTGTGGCCATTTTTTCCATAAAGCAGACCTCCTATTTTATACTCTGTTGTCAGTGAGTGAGATCTTTAAATTTTTAAAAAAATTTAGTTGTGTAATGGTGGTTAAGAGCAGCGTTTGCCAACCAGTTGGTTTAGAGGGTAGGGTTTGTCTTTACTTGTAAGCACTGCACCCTGAAGTATTTAGAAGACAGATGACATGGTGTTAATGTAAAAAATATCTATTGTGGGCTTTTGAATAAGAGAGGTTCTGTTTCTTGTTTCTGCAGTTCTAAGTTACTGGGTCCTCAGTTTCCTCAGCTGTTAAATAGGGATAATGATAGTTCCTACTTATTCAGATTAAAGATAAAGAGCTTAGATTAGAACCAGGCACAAAGTGCTTAAATGTTAAAATAAATTTAAAACAAGTGTTCCTCTTCTGATTATAAAGTTAAGATTTGTTCATGGAAAATGCTCAACACTGAAAATAGAGCTAATGGCTTGTGTGGTTTTCTAGGTTGTGCTGTGGTTTGGTTTTAAAGAAGATATTCATTATTACACGTGAATAAGAAACATTGTTTGTTTGGAAAGCCGGGTATATTTTTTAAAGGTCATGTCTCTGGGAGTCATGGAACATTGAAATAGTTGGTGAATAAAAAGGCACACTGCAAAGTTCAAGAGTAGAGAGGACAGAATAGTTCTTGGTTTGGGTTGTTTCTAACGTAGGAATAAAGGGAAACAGGTAATGAGTTTTTTCAGGTGAAGGTTTAGTTAACACTGGCTTCTTTCTTCCTGATTCAAAGCAGCCTTTTCTTCCAGTGGCTTTTGAGGATGTGTTTAGTCTTCTGCTGGTTAGAGGGCCAGGGCCAGCGCCAGGGCCGAGATGGATAGGATCACCAGTTGGTCGGCCAGCTAGGATTAGAGGCAACCGTAGCAAGAAGAGTTTCCGGAGGCTTGGTTATCTTTGATCGGTCATGGGGATGCAGCCCCCCAATGATAGCTGTTTCGGACAATTTTCTGGCATCTGTACAGTGCCCGATGTCCTCAGAGTTTTCATTTGCATCACTTCAGTTTGGTCCCAAAAGACTTCTTCCCTACCACATGCTCCTCCAAACACTAGGTCAAGTCATACACCACGTGCTCCTTTGTGGTTGTGCATCTGGGTCTCTTCCAGGGTGTGCTGCTTGATGGCTTTGGCCGTAGCTTCAGGCCCTGCAGACACCAGCCCAGCCCGAGGGAGCACAGTGCGTCCCAGTGAGCGAGGGCGGGGACGTCCCCCATGTGTCGTCCAGGGTCTGAATGAGAAACTTCATACTTTTAGTCAGGCACTGAGGAATTTCACTGAGGCCATGCTTAAGTCAGAATCAGGCAGGTTGTAAATTTGTGATGTTCTAGTATTGTATTGATACGTTTTTCAAGTAGCATTCTAAAAAGAACAGCTTTCTATTTGTTGGATTTTTGTTTGTTTGTTTGTTTGTTTATTTTTGAGAGAGAGAAAGAGAGAGAAACAGATTTTTGTTGTTCTACTTATTTATGCATTTATCAGTTGATTCATGTGTGTGCTCTGGCTGGGGATTGAACCACAGCCTTGGCATATCAGTTTGATGCTCAAACCAACTGAGCTACCTGCCAAGGCCCCGCCTGCTTACTCTTTTTTTTTTTGGTAATTACTAAATAATGGACTTAATGGATTTTTGTTAGTGTCTGTGTTAGCACTGATTATAGTTATTGTTCGTTATGATGCTCAATTTGTTTCAGATTTGTTCGTGGGAGTTCCTTCAAGAAGGCTTCTTGTCATTTTGACATGATCTCATTAGTCATACAGCAAGACCCACAGGCTCACCTGTTATTTTTTCTTCCAAGTGGGGAATCATCTATTTTTCCTAGGATCCCTGATTTCTTTTAGTAAGAGATAGTCTTCAGAAACCAAAATCTTAGTGGTGGGCGTACCCATTACTTTTCTGCCAGTCCCTTTTATGAATTTATGAGGTATAACTAATAATTACCAAAACAAAGTCAGATATATAATAAAAGTACCAAGTAGGAACACATGATTTTATTCAGGTCCATATTTTAAGGCAGTGGAAATAACTTATTACACAGTGCATATTGTCTTCTAGATGTGCTTGGCCATAGCTGGTGTGTGTGTTTGTACTTGATACAAGTAGAGAGAATAGTATAATGCACCCCTGTACGATTATCACCCAGCTTCAACAATGACCAGCTCATGGCCATCTTGTGTCATCTCTCTTCCTACCTGTACCTCCCCACACCCCACCCTATCCATTGTTAAGAAAATCTCGGCTAGCAGATAGCTTTTGAAACTTTTAATCTTTTCTCACCTGTTGCCTTGATTTTTCTCGACAGGAGGGTGCTCTGACAGCTTTTCGCAAGACTTATGACAAAACTGTGGCGCTAGGTCACCGACTGGATATTGTGTTCTATCTCCTTAGGATTGGCTTGTTTTATATGGATAATGATCTTATCACTCGAAACACAGAAAAGGCCAAAAGGTACTTGTTAGCAGTGGGGTTATATTCTGTCTAAATTATGATGCTATAAACAAGAGATTAATGTAAGAAATTTGCCTGTTTTTACTACAATTACTAAATTTGGTAAAATAATATATTTAGTAAAATATTTTTCTTAAATGCCCTTTTGAGTTGTTAAAAGTTGTTTTCTCTTTTAAAATAACATAAAAAGTTGTTTTCTCTTTGAAAACAACATAAAACTTGTAAAAAGTGGCATTGTCTATGTCAGTGTTTCCCAAAGTGTGGTACGCGTACCGCCAGGGGTACGGGAAGAGTTTGGTGGGGATATACACTGCACTGTGCTTAGCTGCGCCTAATTAGACGTTCTCATGAGTAGAGGGGTACTCAGCATTATGAAAATTATAGAAGGGGTACACATACGTCAAAAGTTTGAGAAACACTGGTCTATGTCTAGATGTGTAAATTACTGGTGTTTATTTTACAGTTTAATAGAGGAAGGAGGAGACTGGGACAGGAGAAACCGCCTGAAAGTATATCAAGGTCTTTACTGTGTGGCTATTCGTGACTTCAAACAGGCAGCTGAACTCTTCCTTGACACTGTCTCCACATTTACGTCCTATGAGCTCATGGATTATAAAACCTTCGTGACTTACACTGTCTATGTCAGCATGATTGCCTTAGAAAGACCAGACCTCAGGGAAAAGGTAATGCTGAATCTCTCGCATTCACATTTAAAGATGCTTTTCTAACTTGAATACAGAACATTATTAAAGCATGCTCTTTTTTAACTCCTAGGTTATTAAAGGAGCAGAGATTCTTGAAGTGCTGCACAGCCTTCCAGCAGTTCGGCAGTATCTGTTTTCACTCTACGAATGCCGCTACTCCGTTTTCTTCCAGTCGCTAGGTAAGGAGAGAGATGCTCATCGTGATTATCTGTCTTCATCTGGACCCTGACCTGTTGTCGGAGGACCTAGGTGACTTTCCACATAGGTCTTGATCAGTGTAGCTAATCTTTTGCCCATTTTTGGTTAGAGGGGAATCCTAAAACTTAAAGAACTTGGCATTGATATACTTCTCTTGGTAATGCTGCAAATTTCAGAAAACGTTGGTTACGTGGTTAGATGGCATTCACAAAGTTGGGGTGAGAGGCACTCCAAATGGTGATCATTCTATTTTAGAGTGGGTTTTGGTCCAGTGTTTACGGAGTGCTTATTGATGCGTACGTATGAGGCAGCTTTATGAGAATTCAGATGCTCTACCTCCTGTAATGGGAACAGGGCCCTTTGGGTACACATATCTGGTTCGCCCACGAGGTTGTATTGCAGAATTGCTATACTCCCTTTCTCATGCTTGTGGATCGATCTCCTGGTCATTACTCTGCTCAGTCAGAGCAAATACCTTCTCTGCACTCCTGGAGTCCTTATTTTACGCCCCTTCCTCTTATTGAGATATAAATTATATACCATAAAATTCACCATTTTAAAGTATAACTCAATGGTTTTATTTTTTTTTACTTTTTAAAAATATACTTTACTGATTTTTTTACAGAGAGGAAGGGAGAGGGCTAGAGAGTTAGAAACATCAATCAACTGCCTCCTGCACACTCCACACTGGGGATGTGCCCACAACCAAGGTACATACCCTTGACTGGGACCCTTCAGTCCGCAGGTCGACGCTCTATCCACTGAGCTAAACCAGTTAGGGCCTCAGTGGTTTTAGTATGTGGACAAGGTTATGCAACAACTGTCATCAATTTGAGAACATGTCTATCACCCCAAAGGAAACCTGTATGCATTAGCAGTGACTTCCCATTTTTCCCTCTGGCCCCCTACAACCACTAAGCTTTCTATCTGGATTTACTTGTTCTGGACATTTCATGGCCTTTTGTGCCTGACAGAAGCACAATGCTTTCATGGGCCATCCATGTTTTAGCATGTGTCATATCAGTGCTTCATTTATTTGCATGGTTGAATGATATTCCATTGAATTGATGTACTGCAATTTGTTTATTCATTAGTTGATGGACATTTGGATTGTCTCCAGTTTTTGACTGTTAGAAATATGCTATAATAAATACTATTAGCAACCTTTTATTTCAACACTATCCCATGAAACTTTTTATCTTTACCAATTTTATACATCTCCCAGATATTTTAAATGAAGAAGACAGCATATTTCCTTTACATGATAGTCATCTATTGTATTACTTGTTCTGTTTTCATATAGTGAGACACTAGGATTTCTTTGGCTTTGTAAGACTGTTTGCGTCTCCAGATATTCATGGACTATGCTTTAAAATATTTTATATGAGAAAAGAAATAGCATTGTAATACATGATTGTTTTTAAAAATTAAAAATAAATTGCCCGCCTGGTGTGCTCAATGGTTGAGCATCGACCTATGAACTAGGAGGTCATGGTTCCATTCCTGGTCAGGGCACATGCCCAAGTTGTAGGCTTGATCCCTGGTAGGGGGCATGCAGGAGGCAGCCAATCGATGATTCTCTCTCATCGATGAATCTCATCGATGTTTCTATCTCTCCCTCTCCTTTCCCTTCTGAAATCAATAAATATATATATATATTTTTTTTCTTTTAATATATTTTATTGATTTTGTACAGAGAGGAAGGGAGAGAGATAGAGAGTTAGAAACATCGATGAGAGAGTCATCAATCAGCTGCCTCTTGCACACCCCCTACTGGGGATATGCCCGCAACCAAGGTACATGCCCTTGACCAGAATCGAACCCGGGACCCTTCAGTCCCCAAGCCGACGCTCTATCCATTGAGCCAAACCGGTCGCGGCCAATAAATATATTTAAAAACAAACAAAACTGAGAAAATGAGAGGTATTGTATCCCATCTTATACCCAAATCCATATACACATTTACTCACGTAACATTCTCCCAGAGATAACCATTTTAAGATTTTGTTACTTACCCTTCCAGACCTTTTATTCATTTATGTGTAACTAAAAAAACAAACAAACAAAAAAAAAAAAACAAGGTTCTGTGTGCATGTGGGAAAATTTCAAACAGTGTCATGTATACAAGAAGGCTTCCCTCACCTATGATTGCCAGGGTCCTTTCCCTAGTCAGCCGCTGTCGGCAGGTTTCAAGTGTGTCCGTCCGGCAGTAGTGTTTAGAGATACTGGAAACACCTTTAAACATGTGGGTGCATTTTATATGCTGTTTTTCTAAGTAGTTTTTTTTTTTCTTTCCACAATATAATGTGTTTATCTTTTCATGTCACTCTACAAATAGGTGGTCATTGAGTCAGTGAGTGTTTTTAAGTGGCTGTCATTTATCAGGCTGAGTGTGTGTGTAGTGGCAGATAGCACAGGTGGTGCGCCTTGTAGCTTTCATTTAAGGACCTTCTAATACTTCATTGTATTAGATGTGCCATACTTTACCCTTCACTGATAAAAAGTTATGTGTCCAATTTTTCCCCGTTACAAGCAGCCTTGTTTTGAACACTTGTTTACAATGCATCTTTTCCACATTCGCTTGTTAATTCCGTAGGAAAAAATTCAAGAAAATGAGTTTTGCAAAGGGTAAATACATTTCATCTTGATCATGGTTGCCCTCCAGGTATATTGTACTTCTCTCACTTAAACATCATTTGAGAATCTATCCCCTTCCCCCAATATCTTAGCCAGTTTGAGAGAAGAGTAATTTTATTGATGTTTTATGCTTTTTTTTTTTCCTAAAGATAGTTTTCTCATTGAACTTTTTAGTCTTTTTTTTTAAATATAATATATATATATATATTATTTCAGAGAGGAAGGGAGAGGGAGAGATAGAAACATCAGTGATGAGAGAGAATCAATGATTGGCTGCCTCCTACAACGCTCCCTCCTGGGTATCAAGCCCACAACCCAGGCATGTGCCCTTGACCAGGATCAAACCTAGGACCCTTCAGTCCGCAGGCTGAAACTATTCACTGAGCCAAACCAGCTAGGGCTTTAGTCTTCTTTTAAATGACACATAAAAAATAGAAGGTATTTTATGTTGGAAAACATTTCTCTCCCCATCCTGTTCTGTAGGTTTTCTTTGCCATATTTCCCCCTAATTTTATTGATATGTAATTGATACTATATATGTTTAAGGTGTATAACAGTGATTTGATATTTGTTTTTGTTAATAATCACCTGAGAAAATGTTTCCATTTATTTTTAGAGAGTGTAAGGGAGGGAGAGAGGGATGGAGAGTAAGGGAGAAAAATACTAATGTATTTTTCAATGCCTTGAGACACAAAAACTACTTGCCTTCCACACATTCCCTGACGGGTCAGGAATGGAACCTGCAACCCAGGTATATGCCCTTGACCAGGAATTGAACCCACGACATTCTAACCACTGACCAACATCGGCCAGGGTTATGAATTTCTTCTCTTAGTGAGACTGAACACCATCTCGTGTTTAGGGCCATCGATCTCCATGTTGCTAAATGTGTTCCCTCTGCTTTGATGTGGACTATTCTTTGCTTCTTGCCACAACTTTATGGCCCCATCCTTTGTGAGACCTCTCAGTACTGACTGTCCTAGACTTGGTTATTGCCCTTTTCTCTCTCTCCATTCTGTCATCATACACCTGGATGGTAGTGATTCCCAAATTCCTGCCTCCAGCCTCCAATTTCCTTCCCATCGAGCACCAGACCAATGCATAACCATTTCCTTGATACCTTCACTCACTGTCTAATAGGGGAATCCACTGGAACACTGCCAAAACCCCATTCCACTCCTGACCTCCCCCAAAACCACCTCCATAAATAAAGTCTGTTTCTTCTCCAGAGATTTTGATCTTGTTCAAGCCAGAAACACAGTACTGTATATTCTTGTTCTCTCATGTTCCATAGCCCTGTCGTTGTCTCCCTGCCACCTTCTGAGTCTGTCCTCCTGGGCACACTTGATACCTGAGCCTAGCCAGGCTCCTCCTGTCACCTGCCTGCTCTGTCTTCTGCTCTCTGCTTGGCCAGCTCCTCAGAAAGCGCTTCCCTGTCCACCCCAGTCCATGGGGGGCCTCCTCGTCACACCTGTCGGATCCCTTTTTTCACAGAACGTGGTGGTCTCTGAGGGTACTTAATTTTTTGCCTCTCTCTGCTATTTGAAAGTGTAGTTTCTATGGCAGCAGGATCTTGTGTTTTGGCTTACTGTCATATCTTCACTATTTAGAGCAGTGATTGGTAGTAGTTATTCAGTAAAGTAATCTGTACTTACATGAATTGTTCATAAATGTCCTGTGTACCTTTTACTGTTCAATTAATATTTTTTTTATTTACTGATAATAGCTCTTTATAGATCAAGGCTATTAATTCTTATATTGTAAATGTGTCCTCTAGTTACCTATTTATCCGAAAGGGAAAGTTATAATTTGTCATCTTATTCATTACAGCTGTTGTGGAACAGGAAATGAAAAAGGACTGGCTTTTTGCTCCTCACTATCGGTACTATGTGAGAGAAATGAGAATTCATGCCTACAGCCAGCTGCTGGAATCATACAGGTCATTAACCCTCGGCTACATGGCAGAAGCCTTTGGTGTTGGCGTGGAATTCATTGATCAGTAAGTTTACACAGCATTATGCTAACTCAGTTTTTACAGTTACCTTAAGATCATTATCAAATCAGTTACATTTGTCATCTCTGCCTTCATGGTGTGCCCCTTCTATTAACAGAGTTGTAGAGAGGATAAGTGATTTTGCAAAAGGTGTTAGACCAGCTGTTATTAGTCTGCGGCTCCTTCTTTCTGGGCCACCCAGCCATGGCAGGAATGACACTCGATCTCTATCATAAAATTCACGTTAGGTCCTATTTCAATGCTTTCCAGTTTTTAGGCTGCTGCTGTAATTCTGGTCAAATTGGTTGTTAAATATGGTGCCTGTAGCACTTTGATTCTTCAAATACTTGCTAAGCCATTACAATATGGTTCCCATTATTTTAGATCCTGTGGATTTTTATCGTAAGCTGCCTCTCCTCATTTAAGACAGAAATGAGTCTACAGAGAGAATAAAATGGAATAGAAAGGTGTGTGGCTGAAAGGGGTGGCTCTTGGAGATTTGTGTAGGGCCCGTAGGCCATGATATGGAGCTTGGGTTTGAATCTCTGTGCAGTGGGGAGCCATTGGAGAATTTTTTAAAAATATATATTTTATTGAGTTTTTACAGAGGGGGATAGAGTTAGATACATCAATTAAAGAGAAACATTGATCAGCTGCCTCCCGCACACCCCGCACTGGGGACATGCCCTTGACGGGAACTTTCAGTCCGCAGGCTGATGCTCTATCCACTGAGCCAAACCTGTTTCAGCAGAGAATTTTAAGCATAGGAGTGAAGTGATTCCATGCTCACACAGACCAAGAGAACACCTCCCGGAGATGATATGGTGGCTGGGATGAGAAGAGTGGGAGTGTAGGTGAGCACCGTCTTTTAAATGCTCATGGTGTAGTTTTCAGTGGCCCACAAGAAGAAAACTTGGTGTTTAGATAGCTAAGTGCAGCTGCATATCACTTAAATAAGACCATTTTCTTTTTAGTGGTGTTTTTCCTGATATTTCAAAAATTTTTCAAGCATGCAGAAAATTCTGAAGAATTACATAGTAAATTCCCATATATCCTTGGTTGTCTAGTTCTTTGTTATATTTGCTTTATCTCCTACCTGTTCATCTTGTTTTTTAACTACTTCATAGTAAGTTTCAGGCTCCTGTTCATTTTATCCCTAAACTTCAGCATTTGCTTATGGGCTTGCTTTGAGGTAATATGTGCATTCAGTGAAATGCACAAATCTTATCATAAGTGTAACCCACACTGATAAGGGAGCCATCACCAGAGACACCCACACTCCCTTCTTTTAAAGAAAAAGGCATTGGTAGTAATGTTTCTGCGTTTTAAAAAGTCTCCTTACCAAAGACGACGGCTGGTACCCCAGGTTGGTTTTGTTTCATTTCTGAATTAACTAGTCCATGAGATTTGCCTGGTAACCATGAGAGTTAGTTACTAGGATGGGGGTGGCTATTATTAATGGTTTTCATGAATCAGTGGGAGGAGAGAGCAAATGCATGAAGATGGGGTGGCCTGTCTCCTGAGTCAGCCACTGAAGAGCGGCGTGGCCTTGGGCAGGTCTGCCCCTCAGTTTAACCACGGTGTGCTGTGACAGCCGTCACTGATTGTGGGCCACGTGAAGCTCGGATTCAGGAACATTGGAAGCAGGGCAGTGCCATTCAGAGACATATATTGCAGTATTCTTTAAGTCATTATAAAATGACATTTTAATTCTAAGCATGTGGCACATTTCAAGGTAGGTGGTATTTAAATTGTTTTTGCTGTTTTTTTCCTTTTCTAAGATCAGCTCTCGAGACAGATTGTACCACTCAACTCTAATGGTTGTTACCTAGAAAAGTCATGTTTTATCTGCTTCAAGTCTGGGTTTTCATGGGTTCTTTTTTCCCCACCATAAAAATTTATCTGAGGTGAGACTTTTTATTTTTTAATGTTTTTATTGATTTTTAGAGAGGGAAAGGAAGATGGAGAAACATCCATCTGCTGCCTCTTGCACACCCCCTACTGGGGATCGAGTCAGCAACCTGGGCATGTGCCCTGACTGGGAATCCAACTCTTGGTACAGGGGTCGAGGGTCAACGTTGAACCGTTAAGTCATCCTGGCCAGCCTAGGTGAAATCCTTTTTATATTTTATATTAATCCTCACCTGAGGAATCTTTTTTTTTAGAGTGATAGGGATGGGGAGAGACAAACATCGATGTGAGAGAGACATCGATTGGTTGCCTCCTGCATGCACCCTGAGCAAGGCCAGGGATCGAGCCTGCAACCAAGGTACATGCCCTTGACTGGAAATCGGACCTAGGATTCTTCAGTTCGAGGGTTGATGCTCTATTCACTGAGCCAAATTGGCTAGGGCTTGTTGATAGGTCTTTTATTTGAAACTTGGGATGCATATTTATTTTAGAGGTTTTGTTTAGTCAGTAAATACTCAGTTCATCGTTACTAGATATCTGTTGTGAGGCACCATGCTGGGGGACAGTAATCTTGGGACATGTTTGACTAGCACATAGGGAGAAGAGAAAAAAATAGTTTGGATTTTAAGCAGGGAATGGGACTTCAGTGCCAAGGTTGGGCTCTAGGAGTTAAACTTTGTTATAACCCGAAAAGCTGTGCCCAGATTACTCCTGGCACACAGAGTTTAGAATGAGTGTAACTGGGGGTTGATATTTGGCCCAAGTGCTTGAGAAATGGACACATCCACAGATGGTTTCTTGTGAGCATTTAGACCAAATGTCATTGCATATTTAGGATTTTAGTAGGAAGTGATGGAATACCACAAATAAATTAGGGATGTGTTTGAGAAATGAATGGCCTAGTTGTGCTAGATGGAGTGTGTGGTAAGATGTACAGGAGTCCACTGAGCTCAGCCTACAAGGATCTCATTGGGTCTTCATCTCTCGCTGCCTCAGCTGGTCTGGTGATAATGGAACGGAGAACGGGACTGTCAGCAGGCAGGCTCTAGAAGAGCCCAACAGTAAATGGAAGCTCAGCAGAGGGCATTCTTGAGTCAGTTTGCTTGTAAGTCAGATCCAGTGTAGTGTCTGTATCGGGCTGCCTGGTATCTTGTTCCTACATCAGAACATCAAGGTTTTTCTTGAGACGTTTTCTTTCCTGTTCTGTAGCTTTGGGTAAGCCTACGAGAGCTGGAGATGATTGAACTTGATTGTGTAATTCTGTGTACTTCAGTCCCAGAATAAGAGCTTCAGTCTAGAGATCCAACTGCTTTCCTGGAATATAAATATAAATGAGTTTAGAAACCATGCTGATCTTGTTTAATTTTATTTTACGTATAAAATACTTTTATTGACTTCAGAGAAGAAGGGACAGGGAAAGAGAGAGAAACCTTTGAAAATCATTGATAGCTGCCTCCTGCATGCCCCCTACTGAGGATCCAGCCTGCAACCTGGACATGTGCCCTGACCTGGAGTAGAACTGTGACTTCCTGGTTCAAAGGTCCAATCTCAACCACTGAGCCCTGCCTGCCAGGCTGGGCTGTTTAATTTTTAGATTTTACCTAAAGCCACTCAGTCACAGAACTCAAAAACTAGCAATTGAATAGTAGCAATTGGGTTAAATATATTTTGATTGAATTATAGAATAAAGCAGGCTGAATGAACACGTTACAGTTCTTGCTAGTATAGGATAACCTCTAGCTTAAAATCTTCCGAGGCATAACTTAATTCAAAGCATACTGTGTCTTTCACCAGTGACTGGCAACTAGTTACTACTGTATATTGATCATTTCTTAAAGCACAAGTCAAAGCAGCACACTTTACACACTTCATCTAATTGTAATGCTTGCTTTTCAGTAAGTGTCAAGCAAGATGCTGGCCCCTGACCTTCCTCAGTGGTGCTTTAGACTTTGTTCTCACCAGTACAGTGGCATTTCACTGTAGCTTTAATTTGCGGTTTTAATGAGTGAAGTTGATTTTTTTATATATGTACTTTGCCCGAATTATAGTATTTTCTACTTTATAATGCAACATCTTTTATACACATTGTCTTTTAGTTTTTGACTTGGTCTTCTGTAGAAATTCTCTTTACATAATCCAGTTTATCCATTTTTTTTTTTAATGTGTTTTCTTAGGGGCTCTCAACACCATTTGTTGATTAAACCAACATTTCCCCATTGATTTGCAATGACACTTATGCTAGAAATTTGATTCTGTTGGAGTTTATGTGCTTGGATCAAGTTGTTTTACTATCTGGGAGAATAATCTGGTACTTAATTTCAATCGGAGGACTCCCTGTATAAATCTCTAAATTTAACACAAATAGATTTTTATTTTAAAGGCGTCTTTTCATTTATTTTTAGCAGCATAATAGAGCTGTCCTCATAAAGCTTTTGTACATTACTTGGCATTTACATTTTTTTCCTCTGTTATACAGTAGCAGGTAGACTGTATTTGGAGTTTCACTACTGATGCTGGTTTTTGAGGTATATAACCTTAACCAGGTTGTTTAAATAGCTATCTTATGAGGTTTGGGTCATAAATGGATATAGATTCTCAAATACCTTTTTCACATTCACAACACATTAAACCCATCATCTTTGCATTCCTGATCCTAATTTATTGTAGCATACTATTCTTTTTTTCTCCTTCATGCTTTTTAGGATTTTGAAAATTCTGAGTTACCTGCCCCTTAACAGTTAAATTGAAAGAAACTGGGTAAAGTGTCTCAAGCTCCCAATAAATCCTGTTATTTTTCCTTCCTCAGTGTCTATCTCTGAGCACCTTTGTAGCTTTAAAGACTTGCTGTGAATGGTTTCATTCTTTGCCACCTACACTCCATCCGAGTGTGAACCTCTGGGGTCATGTTTATGCTGGTAGGTGACTTACTCTTTGGGGGTAGTCCTGTAACACCCAGAAATCTTCTCAGCCTCTACACATTCAGTAGCTAAGGATGGAGGGAACTCAGTGTTACCTTGTAAGACAATTGAATCGTATATTTAGTGCATTTTATAGTTTCCTAAGATTCCTCATAAGGCAGATGCTAAAGACTTTTTCTCTCAATTAGGGAACTCTCCAGATTTATCGCTGCTGGGAGACTACACTGCAAAATAGATAAAGTGAATGAAATAGTGGAAACCAACAGGTACATTTCAATTTGTGTAATACTCCCCATAATAAGGTACATTATTCTATTTCATTTTTGTTCCCTCACCATTTATCCCCCTATGTCCGCTTCTACCACCACCCCCCCATCCCCACACTGTTGTCTGTGTCCATGAGTTTTGTTTTTCCTCAGTCCCTCCACCTGCTCTATGTGTGAGTCTGTCTGTTTTGCTTGTTCAGTTTGTTCATTAAATTCCACACATGAGTGAAACCATGTCTTCCTCTGATTGGCTTATTTCACTTAGGGACATTCTTAAGTGCCTTTTAAAAGTAGGTCAACTATTGTTACAGAGTAATGTGACTAGTAAATAATTCATTTTTTTTCTTGAATTTATTTATAGACCTGATAGCAAGAACTGGCAGTACCAAGAAACTATCAAGAAAGGAGATCTGCTACTAAACAGAGTTCAGAAACTTTCCAGAGTAATTAATATGTAAAACCATGTGAACAAAGGATTTCTTTTGGAGATAATGACTTGGGATTTTTATAGCTTACTTCCTATGTGCCCAGTTCAGCTGTATAAAAGAAATACTGTGTTGTTTCTGTCAGTTTACTTTTTTCTTAAGCATATCTACATTAAGCTTGGGGTCTGGTAATGTTAAAATGTTACCTTTATGTCATTTAAACCTCTCTGGTTTGTGGTATAACGGGTTACAGCCAGAGGCTCTATAATACCTGAGCTCAAATATTAATGGCCTCAGTGGTAAAACAGAGGTAATTAATACAAGTCCATCACTGCTTACCTTAAGCCTCCTGAATTTTAGAAAGAAGAGTACATATTATATATTGTAGACCAAAATGAAGTGTCTCCCACTGGCGCACAAAAGACAGAAGATACAGATATCCTAAGCTTTCACAGAAGATGAGAAGTTCGTCTTTAGGAGGCTATCATAGCCTCAGTCCAGAATGAGCCAAGGCCACCCTCAGTAAACAGGTATAAAAAAAACTATACATGTTGGCAAAGGGATTTCCCCCCAACACACAGAACCACAGTAATTGCAGTGAGGAAAAGGAAGTTGTCCCTTGTGTTTCCCCCTCCCCTAAGTATAAAATAAACTCAGATGGGATTATGCTGTGATTAAAATATGAGACCTGATAAAGGAGACAGGGTGAAACGGTATGGAGGGGTATCACAGCAGGTCTGTGGTAAGCTTATCTTTCCATAAAGAGGAGGGAGGGGGAGAGAGACCATACTAACATCTGGAGGTTTTAAGCAGAGTCACGGCCCGATTTGACTTACCTTGTGTCACGGGCACTCAGCTGGGGGGATGCCAGGTAATGGCATGGACTGTAGAGGCTGCTGGATCTGCTAAAAGATTGGATTGGGGGAGAGGACGCAAACAGGAGTCAAGGATGGTCCCAGGGTTTTTGAATGGGAACTTGGACAAGACAGTTTTGATAGAGGTGAGTTTAGAGAATAGGAAATATTTTATTAGAAAAGTTAGAGAAGTATATGAGGCTTTTTTATTTAAGAGCATGTTTATATGCTAATCCATTAAAATATTAGAGAATGAAGGTGGCAGCTAAGGTAAACCTGTACTTGCTGCCTCCCACAACCACATCAAAATTACAACTGAAATAAACCATCGTTTAAAATTGCCTGAAGGCTCGCTGAATGCAAGGTCCTACAACTGGAGAAGAGAGCACCTAGAGGCTGGTAGCACATCCTGTGTGTGGTTTTTCCTTATGGGAGATAATCTTTGTGGAGGCCTCCGTGAGGAACAAGGGGTCCCAGCCCCACACCAGACCCCCAGAGCTGGGAAGAGAATTCTCTAACAATGGGCTGTAAAAACCAGCGGGGATTGGGGCTAAATGACACTGAGGCTGCTAGAGATTCAGCTGTTCCTTTTAAAGGGCCTGCACATAAACAGCATGTCCCTCTTCCTCTGAGCTCCAGCGCTAGGCAGCACCTCTGGAGAACCCACACACACAAGGGGAGGAACTGGATTGTCTGGCATAGAGGTAGGAACTCAGGTGGCTTCCTCCCAGACTGGGTCCTCAGAGGGTCATTTCCTGTGCTGGGACCTCCCTGTTCTAGGGCTGACTGGCAGCCATGTCAGTTTCCATCAGCGACACCCTGTTTTCTCTGCCCTGGTGATTGCCTGAGATCCCCGCCCCACCCAAACTTTGCAGCAGCTTTTCCATATGAATGGCCTGTCTTGGCTCAGGCTTCAGACTTTTCTAAAATCTCTCAAACCAGCTGCAGCTGGTGACTGCATGCCCCAAACCTATCAATAAAAGGCCAGCCTGCCTTGCTTCACAGCTGGGCACCTCTCTGGAGGCCCTAGAGACAATGCATCCGGTGGACAGCTTCAGAGCATACCAGATTATAACTACACATCCATTCAAGGGATAGACTGAGCACCAAAGCCCCACTGAAGCAAGTTCTGCTCCATGGGGGTATTTTCCACACAGCAACACTCCCACTGGTCCTCAGCCAATTGGCCTGGAGGTTAATTCCCTGCAGTGATACCAATAGCAATCAAGGCTCAACTACAAGACTGCACACAGCCCACATAGGGATGCACCTAGAGTACCCAGCTAAGGACACAGTGGAGGCTGAGCCACTGGGCCCTACAGAGACACCACTCACCAATTCCACGAGACATAGCAACTCTACCCAATACATAGAAGCAAAGGGAAGTACCCAAAATGCAGAGACAGAATTCCTTTAGCTTTTTGAAATAAATGGAAGCAAGCAAACTGCTGGATACAGAGTTCAAAACCATGGTTATAAGATTACTCAAGGATCTTCATGAGAACTTCAAGGGACTTAGTGAGACTTTCAAGGATCTTAGAATGTCAACAACATGAAAAAGGACCAATAAGAAATTAAGCACACAGTACTGAAATAATTGACAGGGATTCAACAGTAGACAATTCTGAGGGGGAAAAAATCTGGAATATGAGGAAGCAAAGAACACCCAATCATAAGAGCAAAAAGAAAAAATAATCTAAAAATATGAAGATAGTGTAAGGAGCCTACGAGACTTAAAGCGTACCAACATTCACATGGGGGTGTGAGAAGGAGAAGAGAGAGACAAGATATTGAAAACCTATTTGGAGAAAGAATGACAGAAAACTTACCTGGTGAAAGAAATGGACTTACAAGTCCAGGAAGCATAGAGTCCCCAACAAGAGGAACCCAAACAGGCCCACACCAAGACACATCATGATTAAAATGCCAATGGTTAGAAATCTTAAAAGCAGCAAGAGAAAAGCAGTTACCTACAAGGGGGTGCCCGTATGACTGTCAGGTGATTTCTCAACAAAAACTTGGCAGGTCAGAAGGGAGCGCCAAGAAATATTCAAAGTGATGAACAGCAAGGACCTACAACCAAGATTACTCAGCAAAGCTCTCATTTAGAATTGAAGGTCAGATAAAGAGCTTCACAGACAAAAAGCTAAAGGAGTTCATCACCACCAAACATGAAATGTTAAAAGGTATTCTTGAGAAAATAAAATATATGAACAATAAAATGGCAATACCTATATCTATCAACAATTGAATCTAAAAATAAAAACGAACAAATATAATGCACAAAATAAACTAGTGAATACAATAGATCAGAAGCATGGAAACATGGAACTAACTGATGAATCTGAGGGAAGGAGATGGAGGTGTAGTGGGAAGAGATTAACCAAAGATCTTACATATGGACACAGAAGGGTGGGAAAGGCCTGGCTGGGGTTGGGGGAACCAACTGGAAGGGGGCTGAAGAGGATGGATAGGGGGAACATCTGTAATTTTCTCAACAATAAAGATTGTATATATTAGAGCACATGTGTCAAACACAAGGCCCACGGGCCAAATCCGTCCCACCAGGCCTTGCAATGTGGCCCGCACCGCGCTGTCATCACTGCATTCCGCTGCGTTTCCATCACAATGACAGTTTATGACTGTTCAGTAAACCATTCGGCCCGCGATTTAGGCTGGATTTTAGATTTTGGCCCCTTCTCTGATTGAGTTCGACACCCCTATATTAGAGGATAAAACTATCTCCATCAGTAGAAAATAATTAGATACCATTCAACATTCATTTACGATAAGACTTGAGTAAGAGGAATACTAATGGACTGGGAAATCCTGACGTGTTGCAAAGAAGATAGTTAATGGTCAAGTATTGGAAGCACTACCTTAAAGGCCAAGAGAGTGGCTGCCATCAGCGTTGTCCTGTTGATTTGCCATGAGATCTGCAATCGGAGCCGCTTCGAAAGGAGTTTCCTGTGTGCGCTGCATGGTGGGTGGGAGGCTGTTAAAATGTTGGCTCTGCCTAATGCATTTGAGAGTATGTGCTTATGGATTTATAAAAGTGCTTGTTATAGAACCTTACAATGATCCCTCGTTTCTTGAAGAAATTATAAGTACCCTTCACAGACCCATGATCCTACAATCAGTTAAACGGTCGATGTGAATGTACTGTTCCTTGTGTCCATTTAAAAATTAGCAGAGCCCGCCATGGTGGCTCAGTTGTTGAGTGTCAACCTATGAACCAGGAGGTCACAGTTCCGTTCCCGGTCAGGGCACATGCCTGGGTTGTGGGCTCCATCCCCTGTGGGGCCTGCAGAAGGGAGCCCATCAGTCATTCTTTATCATCATTGATGTTTCTATCTCTCCCTTTCCCTTCCTCTCTGATACCAATAAAAATATATTTTTCTAAAAATTAGCAATTCCTGCTACAGGGAAAAAAGTAGTATTAAAATGTCAGTTTCCTGAAATACCCCTTTTCCTAAAATCTCACCTGAAAACCACTTGCACTGAAGCGATCAGAGAGCAACAATGGCTGTTCAGTCAAGGCTTGGTCTTGCTCCTGCCCAGACCCTTATTTCCCACAGTTGGGGACACAAAAGGCTAAAAACTAAAGCCAGCTGGTGCCAAAAGAGGCTCCTGATGTTACTGAGTTGCCAACTGGTCACCTTTAGGTTGCAACTATCCCAGCCCCAAGATGTTTTCGAGGAAATAATTTATGGCCACTATATAAAAACAGAAAGACAACTAAAAAATCCCAAGCTTACACTGGTCCCCTCCCAGTCAAGCGAATGGCTACATGTTCTCCAGCATGGAGCTCGCAGGCTGCCCTGTCACCTGTACTGGCCCCATTGAGGCGAGTGATGTTCCGCGTACTTCCCACAGTGCGGGAATCATAGGAGAATGAGACAAGAATTTTACCCTCATCCTACTTCTGGTAGCTTCCATTTATATAGCTTGTGGTTGTTTTTTGTTGTTGTTGTTTTTAAGTTTTCACTTATTTTTTGGTTTTAGTCAGGAAGAGCATAATATGAAAATATGATTATCATGGAATGGTAAGTTAACTAAACACTTCAGTGTGTTTAGTTCCATGTCAGTATGTTACTTTGCTAAGTAGCAGGCTTTTAGGAATGGGCATGCTGTCTAAAAATCATTTTCTGTTGTTAAGTATCTGCACTAACTTCACGGCCCCAAGTGACTACAAGGATGCCTGTGGCAGCCCCTCCCCGAGCACGTCACTGAGCACATCACTGCAGTGGACGCTGAGTTTATGACTGAACACAGTCCCCGGAACCCAGCCAGGCATTAACAGTGATTGATCGGTAGGTTACCGATCATTAGCAAATCAACTGCATGATTCTCAATCCTTGAAACTGTTTTAAGCTATTTTTAGAGGGTTAATAGATGACCCTTGAAATATTCTGTCCCCATGATCGGGGCAGTGATGCTCCCTCACGGAACGCTATCGAACTCCCAGCTGCTGGGACAAACCTCAGACCTCCACCGTGGCAATGGGGAACGAACCTGGAAAGTAAGGCAAGCTCCAATAATCACTGTTTGCGCTGCAAAGCCATAGAGCCACAGTTTGCATTGTTCTTGTGTTTCTGAAGACCTGCAAAAGATATCCAGAATTTGTAGCGCTTTTGGTCCAGGCCCACTGTAAGCTTGAAGCACAGGGTCAAAGGTTTGTTTACCACTTATCATCAGAAATCTCTTATAAGGGAATAATTGTTTTGTACAGATTGGATATAAGAAATAGAAGAGACAATTTGCCACCGAATGATCAGCCTCCAATGCAGCTACTGTACATCACAAATCTGAGATTGCCTGGTGCAGTGACCACGGAGCCTAGACGCTCAGTCGGTGGTGTGCTAACAACTTGGGCAACCTTTCTCGTAGAGGTTCCCAGACACTTTTTCTGCAATTAGAATATCAGTGCTGATAAAGTTAGACCACTGAGGAGTCTGCCTTTCTCAAAACCCTCTGGGTTAGCCCAGCCAGTGTGGCTCAATGGTTGAGCGACAACCTATGAACCAGGAGGTCATGGTTGATTCCCAGTCAGGGCACATGCCTGGGTTCAACCCACAGTGTGGGGCATGCAGGAGGCAACCAATCAATTGATATTTCTCTCTCTCTCCCTCTTCTTTCCTCTCTGACATCAATAAAAATATATTAAAAACAAAGATCAAAACAACAGAACAAACCCTAGATTAGAGGCTGTTCTTCATACACACTCAGGAACTTGGGGCTGAGAGGAAGTGGCTTCCTAGTCCACTTTCTCTCCTGGTCATTGTTTCCATCCTCATTCAAAACGCCTTCTCTTGGAAGCTGCCCACCACCCAGCAATACCACCAACTCACTGTTCACTACCCCACCGCCTTCTCCTTACTCCCTCCCGCCCACTCCAGACTGAGGAGCTTGCTCGTTCTCTCAGCCCTGATTTGAAATGGCAACCTACACAGTAAGATCCCAGCGTCACAGTTCCTCAGCCTGAAGTCTAGGGCTCTTTCCCTCTACTGCGAGGTCTCACCCAGGACCCAGGAATCACAAGCTTTAATTTTGGAAATGAAACCTGGACTTCCACGCCGACTCTATACTCAGTTCCTGTTCCTAAGAGTGCCCGGCCACTGTCATAGTGCCGGTGCCTGGATCTGCCTTGGGTGTCAGTCCTTTACTACAGGCCATGTTGAATCGAATGTGGACTTTTGCTCCGTGACCTTGAACAAACCACCTGACTTGTCTAATAGTACACAGTTACTTGGAGAAGGACCCAAGGCTTGTCTGGAGTGTGCCTGCGTGAGTTCTACACAGCCCCAGCCCTCTCCTTGAGTCCCTAACTTAGCATCACCGATCACTTAGCCACACACTCACATACTCTTTGGCAATCTTCCTACATAAGTTCCTATAACTTCCCCATTCAAGCAATACCTGCTGATCCAACGGTCCTGGGGAAAGCAGCAGGGCACACACAATAAGAACATCTGTTACCTAAGTGGGTTCATGGAGTCAACTGTCTCAATTTCTAATGAAACCATCTCAAGTCCATCCCTCTCTGTCTTCCCGGATCTGATCCTTCCCTCTTTATAGGGGTTCTCCTTCTGTTTTCACCAAATACTCTCCCCTTCAGAGTTCACCTGGGCTTTCTTCTTTGTGGATCATGGAGGACAGGCTTCAGTTTGTGAAATCCGGACGTGGGATATAAAACGTGGAGTGCCTGTGCCTGTAGCCAAGCCTGTCCTGGTTCTGCTTGCTGCACGACAGAATTCAGTCGAGTGACAATGGGCTGGGGCAAGAAAAGCGACTTTATTCGGAAAGCCACCGAGCCAGGAAGAGGCAGCACTGGGGTCCTGCAGAGCCATGTGAAGGAAGTACAGAACTCCGGTTCTTTTCTGTCAGTGGAAGGTAAAGGGGAGGGGCGAGAGGTGATGGAGGACCACAGACAGCTGGGCTCCTGCAGAGGGC